AGATACGTGTACAGATTTTTTCCTTTTAGTAATCATTTACTTCACTAATTTTAGTCCACATGGACTCACCAAGCTCCTTCTCTCACCATTTTCTTGTTGAATTAAAAAACAAAACAAACAAACAAACAAAGAAGAAAACAGTTCTAGCCTTGTACTGGTGGCATATGCCTTTAATCTCAGCACTTGGGAGGCAGAGGCGGGTGGATCTCAGTGAGTTGTGGTCAGCCTGGTCTACAAAGTGAGTTCCAGGGCAGTCAGAACTGTTATACAGAGAAACTCTGTCTTGAAAAACAAAACAAAACAAAAAAAATCCATGAATCTTGTTTAGACTTTCATGTATTCCTATTTCATGAGCATATGTTTCTATGTGTGTAGGTGTTCATGTGTACAAGCGTGTGTAGGAAGGCAAGAGGATGACTTCTGCCATCTTTTATAGGTTCCTTTACAGCCTGGATCTCACTGGTTTGCCTAGACTAGCTGTCTATCAAGTCCCACAGATCCTCCCATCGCTCTCCTCCCTCTAGTTACTTGAAATTTTATAAGTTCTCCTGGACATTTAGCCCAAAGAGTATATACAAAGCATAGTACTGTAAACATGCTTTTTCTAATTTCATTTATAATTTAATAATAATAAATGAAGAATTGATTCCTAAGTGGCTCCTAAGCTTAAAGGAATAGTCTCTCCTCTCTCTCTCTCTCTCTCTCTCTCTCTCTCTCTCTCTCTCTCTCTCTCTTTCTTTCTCTTATTTTTCCCTCATATGCTCAGCTATAGCATTTGGCCGACAGTTATGCCTTGCATGTCATTTGTGAATGCTTTCAAATAAAAAATGTGCAGAGTTGCATTTATGTTTTTGGCTTCAGACGAAGGATGAAAGCTGTTGCTTTGCTTATTCTAAGCCAGCTCTGTAAAGAATGGTAAAGCTACTAAATTTAAACAAGTCGAGGGTCTCCAACAAGGCTGGGCTGTGTTACTCCATCTGCTCTTCCTTCACATTAAGAAGGATTATTTCCAATAGTTTGTAATTCTCCCAGTGTGGACATCCAGCGTGTCAGTAACACAGAGGGGCCCGAAAAGGGTCTCCGAAGGGAAGACAACACAAAGAGTAAAGAATAATCTTGAAAAACACTTTTATTTCAGCAACTGATACTTTATTACATTTACTGTGTGTGTGTGTGTGTGTGTGTGTATGTGTGTATGTGTTAACCCCTTTCCAGAGAAACGTCCATGCAATGGAATGATCTGAATATTTGTCAAGGCTCATCAAACCTCTAGGTTCATGGGTCATGAATTAGAAAACCAAGAGAAAAATTGGCATTATATTTAATAGGTATATATATAAACATAAGAATATATATGTACCTATATATATATATATGATTGTTTAAATTTTTCCTTTAAGAGCTACCTAAGCTTCTAGAACCTTGTAAATCTTGCTTTGCTTTTATTTAAGAGTTTGCCTATTTCCGAAGAATGCCACAGTATACCTATACCTCAGAACACAGTAGATACACTGTGTTTTAGAAATCAATATTTTAATGGAATAAAAGAGTATGTTTAAAACAAATGATCAACCTAAAGATCATTTATGAAATTGCAACTGAGACCCCTTCACCCTTGTGCTTCTCGAACTTTTTACATCAAATATTCACAATTTCAACCAATTTCTGGGTAAGTCTCTAAGAAACAGACACTGAGTCCATTATATCTTTAGTAGTATCCAGTTCAAAATGTTTCTAAATTAATTTTCTTTTTCATTTTTTTGAGACAGTCTCATTATGTAGCCCTGAATGGTCTAGCAGTCATTATGTAGCCCAGACTGGCCTGGAACTCACAGAGATCTACCTGCTTCTGCTTCCTGAGTGCTGAGATTAGAGGACTGTGTTCCCACATGGGGCTAGTGTTCATTTTGACTTCTTTTTTGAACCTATAAGAAATTTAGAAGTTTGTACTGTAGAGTCTCTTCTATAATAATTTCTGTGTATTTGAGGCTTTGAATTTTCTGTTTGCCATTGGGTTCCATTTTAATATTATTTGCAATTTAAAAAAGTGAATATGATTTCAGTCCTCTAGAACTGGTTGCCACTTGGGTCTTGCATGACTTTCTTTGATTAATGTTTTAGGTGTACTTGAAAAGACTACCATTAGCTGGACATATCATGTAGGTGAGGTTGATCGACATCCTCACTAATTCTGACAGTTTCTGAGATTAAAGTTTGGAGATTGCCCAGATAAACATGCTGTGGGTTGAACTGTGTCATTTCACACCCTGTGTCTTCCTGAGACTTGTGGATGTAACCTTTGAGAAAGTCTTTATCAGTGTAATCATTCTGGATTCAGGTGGCCTTAAAGTACCAGGAGAAACTGGACCCAAACACAGAGGAAGGTGGACACACTGAGACAGAGGCAGTGATTGCTCAGGGAACCATAAGCCAAGGCATGAGGGCTGTGGGCATCCATCAGTGTGAAAGGGAATAGGGAAGGACCCTTTCCCTGGTGCCAACTCTCGGATTCATACTTCTACCCTCCAGAAGTTCACTGCAACACATATCTGACATATGGGCAAAGAAGAGTTAGCACATAACTTTTTTGTTGTTGTTGTTTTTTGATAGGTTTATTTGGATAGTTCAGAACTTTTTTTTATTATTTAAAAATTTAACTTTACGCTGGAAGTCATGAAGAAACAAGGAATTGCCAGAAAAAGTTATTTAGTGACAGGAAATTGCTTTGGAAGACATATGTGTGTGGGGGGTAGGTCAGGAAATGAATGATTCTTCCTTTTCTTTCAAATGTTTATTTTTATCCTGTTTTTTTTTTAAAGCTTTCCTACAGGTACACAGTGTACATCCAACATGTTCCCCTCATACTCTCTACCCTCATTTTTCTTGCTCCCATGGTCCTGTTAGTGCCTTTGTCTCATAGACAGTTTCGCTTCTACTTTTATACTATATGTATATGAGCACACATGTATACAACACATATACAGGTTCGTATGAGCCTCTTTATCTATGGAAACTCTAGGCATCACGACTCCCAGCATGGCGGCAAACATTTGTCCCTTGTACGATCAACTGTAAATCACAATCAAATAAAAGAACACAAAGGTGGAAACGCTCCATCCAGTCTGGACCCAAATCATTTATTAGTCATCGATTTTCACTGGGCTAAGTGCTGGCTGGGTGTTCTGTAGTCTGAGGATGTCAAGTTTCAGAATCCAGCAGGCCTCGCCTCCAGGTGTTGTCTGCGCAGCCGCAGTGAAAGGGCTGTGCATGAGACCCTGTAACGCTGGCCAGACAGACCCCTGGAGTGCACAGGTGTGATGCTTCGGAAGCACGCAGTTATGCAGCCCTTTTGGCTAAGTTTCCCCTCTCTGCTCCTGGCTTCTTAACAGATCCCAGCAGGCTAAGGAGGAAGTCAGTCCCAGTCTAGTAACAGGAAAGGCATTCTTCTGTCTTTGGCCAGTTGACAAAGGAAAGGACCAGAGAGATAGAGGGTGAGGGCTTAGGGCTCCTGTATCCCCACCTAGGACAGGGTACCCGATGAGTGGGCAAACAAGGGAAAAATTAATAACGGAATTAGCGAGTCTAGTATGGAGCTAGCTGTTTTGGTTTCACGTCAGCTTTGTTCTCCTTGAAAGATGCTAACTTCCTGATCAGATGTCCCCCTTCAGGGATCTAAGGAGCTTGGAGAAGAGGGCAGCTAACGGTAGGGTTTTTGTGGGGAGCGCCTGGCATCTCCTGGCTAAGCACCAGGAGGAGCAGCTCATACCCAGGCCAGACTTTAGTAAAAGTTGAGACCATATGCAAGGACGAGGGGCCATAGCCAGGAGAAGGGTTTGGGTGCACAGACCGCCCCCTCCCTCCACCCCGTGCCCACCCCCACTACCGCGTTCCTAGCAAAGTAAGACCTAGCAAAGAATTTTCATTGAGACTCATTGGAAACCGCGCCCTCTGGAGGAGAAGAGGAGAGGCGGCAAGAGGGGAAAAAAGCGGCCAATTCAAGAAGGCTGTAAGGAGGAACTGATTTTTTAAGAGAATGGATATCTTGCCATCTCTGCATCCGGCGACTACTCTACAGGGTAGAGGTGGTTTTGGGAAAATAGAGAATATAGATCTCTTGGAGGAGTTCCTTAGGTTGCATTTTCCTTGCGACTGTTGTCAAATCAGTGAGGACATATTTCATATTTCAGGTTTCCAGTAGTCTGGACAGGTGTGGTCAACCCTCTGCTTGCAACAAAATAGAACTGGTTTAGGAATAAGTTATCGCTGTAGTTAAGATCTCTAGATGTGCCTGTCCTAAAGATATAGAGATGAATATCTTATATGATACACATCTCGATGTCTTTGTGATTTGTATGTTATTACTCTAACCACATACCTCTGTTGAATAAAGATAAAAATATCACCTTTACCTCTCTCCAAAAGATTTATTTGTATTATTTTAAATGGCAGGTATGTGAGCACCTCTGTAGGTATGCAGACGTGAATGTACAGAGGCCAGAGGTGTCGTATCCCTTTGGCAGTTGTGAGGTGTTCAATGTGGGTGTTGAGATGTGAACTCAGCCTCCCATGAGAGCAGAGTGTGCTCCTAATCACTGAGTGGTCTTTCCAGCCCCGATGGCTCCCTTGGAAATAAAGTTGAGTGTACCTGTCTCCTGGAGCCGGAGGGTGTGTGAACAAGGGGCATTGCAGAGCACTCGCTCTGGAGAGACAGACTGGATCTCTCAACAGGGTGAGATAAGATTTCAGGGTACAGTTTAGCAGGACATGAGGTGAGGAGGCAAGGGAGGATAAAGTAGACAGTAGGTAATCAGGAGGCCTAACGAGCTGCTGTAACTCCATAGTCTGTCATTTTTGTGCCATTTGACAAACAGAATTATACACAGAGCTTAGTCTTATTTTTGAAATTGTATATGAAAGTTTGTCAGTGGTTTTGGTTTGTGTACCTCGGAGAATACTCCCTGGCTCTGGGAATAATAATACATCTTCTCTTCTCTTTTTGAGATTTTTTTTTTAAAGGGAAAAGGAGAGAAGGATAACTTCCCACTTGACTTTAGAGGACATCACTGCTTTTTATTAGGTAAGTTGAGAGTGCAAACATTAAATATTGTCAGTCCTCCAAGAAAGGAATGAGCCAAGACCCACTGGTTAAGAGAGAAGCTACAGGCATAATCAATTAATCCCCCCCTTTCTTCTTGAGAGGTGGCTGCTAAAGCCAACTTAGGATACTTGATTTTCCAAGCATCTCTGTTTGCAGGACCGTGCAATTGTTCACGTGCACGAGTGCATGTGTGTGCATACACATGCTAGTGTGTGTATGTGTATACATGCTAGTGCGTGTGTATGATGCATGCTAATGCTAGTGTATGAGTATGTATGTAAGTGAGTGTATGTGTATATGAGTATATGTATGTGTGTGTGTATGTGTATATGAGTATATGTATGTATGTGTGTGGGTCTGTATGTATGTGTTATGCAAAGGAGATGAAGACAGACTAAGGTAGCCCAGGTCTAAGAAAAAAACAATGAAGCTTGAATTGTGTGACATTTGAGCAATGAAGCAAAGCTGTCAGAAACTCAAACCGCCCTCCAGGACTCTTGCCTGCGGCTGGAGGTGGGGAATCACTTTTACTGGAAATGAATAAATTCCAGATCTGGACTGTGACCTACCAGCTGGTGAGTCCCACTTCTTTCTTTCAAGAGACTGATAATACAGCAATCTTCAGAGTCAAGATGAAGTTGTTCTGGTGGATGTTGTTGTTGTTGTTTATTTAAAAAAGAAGTTAGACAGCAACGAAGGGAGGGTGGCTTTGCACCACTGCCCGATAATAATTACCTGTTCTGTATCATTGCCTATCACAATATCTTTTTTTTTTAACATTTAAAATCTTTTCATTTTCTGGGTATGGGAACTTTTCCCTGTGTGTGTGTCTTTGTACCTGGAGATCCCCTGGAACTGGAGCTGGAGACAGTTGTGAGCCACCATGTGGTGCTGGGTCCTCTGAGAGAGTATCAAGAGCTCTTAACCAATGAATGATCATCCCAGGTCCCCATCTCACTGAATTTGCCTGTAGTTTACTGAATATCATTGTTGGGGCCGGCACTCTGCTGTTGCTAGGCAATGCTTATTATTCTTTGGAGAATAGCTCTGCTCTTTCTTTAAGTCAACAAACAACACCAGTTCTTATTTTTATACTCAACAGGGCCCAGCAACATATGGAGACTTGCCTCAATGAGTTTTCTAAATAATAATAATAATAATAATAATAATAATAATAATAATAATAAGCATTCAGGGCTGGTGTTTCATTAACTATAATTCCATGCTTGGGATTGTGAGGTCACTAATTTGCCCAAGATGGACTTGAACTTATTCTGCAACCCATGCAGAATTTGGACTTGTGATCCTCCTAACCCTAAACAAAAAAACAAAAAACAAAAAACAAAAATGGAGATGTAGTTTAGCTCAATTGCTAGCATATGTGAGGCCCTAAATTTAACCCTCAGATATAGTTGGAAATTTCTTTGGGTTGCCAACCAGCTTCCCATATAATGACACGAAGACTTGTTATTAATTATGAATGCCTGGTCTTAGCTTAGGCTTGTTCCACTATCTTTATGAACTTAATTTAACCTGTTTCTATTTATCTACGCTTTGCTTCGGGCCTTTTTACCTTTCATTCATTGTGTATGTCCTACTTTTCTGCTTCCTTCATTTCTGTCTGTCTGGCCTATGGTGTCTCCCTGGCATTTTTTTTTTCTTTCTTCCCCAGTCCTAAATTTCACCTCCTCCTGCTCTCCCTGCCTAGAAGTCCCACCTATACCTCCTCCCTTACTATTGGTCATTCAGCTTTTTATTAGACCAATCAGATGTCTTAGGCAGGCCAGGTAAAAGAGCAACTCATCTTTGTATAGTTAAACAAATATTCCACAACCATCAATATCATATCTCCCTATACACAAGTCATGTGTTCACATGTAGGGGTGTGCATACATAAAATATATCCTCTCTTCAACCAAAGGACACATGGCATTTTCATGCCACAGAGATCTTCACAGAGCTGAGCTCAACCAACATTTTCTCAACCCTGCGACTCCTGGGAGTAATTTGTGAACTCTTATTGCCAGACTCTTTTCAAATGTGCTCCCTATGCTGTTCAGTGCATCATGCACGGCACACTGGCTCACATGGTCTCACGGATTTCCCCAGCCTGACAAGGTCAGCATGTTTTTGATGTGCCTGTGAACCAGGCACTAAGATGAGCACCTGGACACTCACTGCTTCTCTTTGGAACTTAAAAATGGGAACTATTAGCAGTTATGCCTTAAAGGCGGGGGTGGGGGGTTGAAGAGACTAAGGCTTAGATTAATGTGATGAAATCAATGAACTGCTGGACAGTGGTAGCAGTGGGATTCGAGCTGGTATGCCAGTCTTGATTAGTTTTCATTGTTGTGCCGATTATGTAGCTAGGTTGGGCTTTGAGCCCACGTCTACCATGTCTCCATCTTCCAAGTGCTGGATTCACAGGTGTGTGTGTGTGTGTGCTTATGATTTCACTTTTGGCTAAGTCACTCCATTGTCATTCCTATTTTATACAGGAGTTAGCTGAGGTTTCTCTGAGGCAGATCCAATCCCATTATTCTTGTAATCAATACTAGCTAGTGGTTTCCCATTCCAGTCAAAGTACAAGCCGTTTTCCAGTCCTTCTGTGCTGTGTGCTGTGTCTCTCTGCTCCACTATTATTGCCTTCTAACCCCCCCCCCCACCATTCATAGCTACACTTGCTGGTCCCCCAGGGCTCCCTGCGAGGCATTCCCAACTCAAGCCCCTTATACTGCTGCTTCTGCTGTTGGAAATGTTTTTCCCCAGAAGGCCCCCGTGGTTCACATTCCTATCTCCTCATATCTGGCCAAGCATCTTATCAGGCGCCTCCTGATTGTTTTATGTTGGGTTCCCATCCTTTTTCCTACCCTCAAGTCCCTGACACCCACGGCACTCCTGTTCCTTTCCTCATCCTTGATATTGTTTATCGACTGTCAATATTTTTAAATTGATGTGCTAATTAGCAGCTGTCCCCTCTAAAATATAAGTTTCCTTGGGGGCAGCTATTTTCTATATAGTTATTTATTTAGATTATAGCATTGGCACTTATGACAGAACAGAACAGATTAACGGGATCTTGGTGAGGCTTCGAACGAGTGACAGAGGCTTAAGAAACTCATGTAAGGTCCATAGGTAAAATGAACATAACATAGTGACAGACCCAGCACCGAGCTCAACCACACATCAAATGCACACGCTGTCTTCCTAGGCTCCCCGCGCAAGTCCTCGGGTCTTCAGCCCTAACCGGCCCAGTGAAAGGGGATAAACAAACCAAACAGGAAAAAGGCAGCATTTGTTACTGTCTCTTAAAGTGGGTTACTTTAAAGTGAGATCACATCAGAGGCCAGGTCAGGGAAAGGGGACACTGGTCTTTACCAGAAAGGGAGTTGACAAGTGATGAAATCAGGAATGTGCTGATGTCTCAGGGCTTCGGGAAGGGGCAGAGTGTGGGAAGGTCCTGGGTGAAGCTGGTGTTGGGTTAATTAATTAGGGTGGGATGCCTGCACTCTAAGGGGAGGAAGGAACCGAAGCATTGATTGGAGTGGACTGCAGTCTCAAGTAGCGGTTACAAAGGAGCCTAGAGGCAGAGGAAGGATGGGAGAAGTGTTGGGTACAGCTCCATTTGGCCAATGGCCAAAGCAACATGTCAGATATTAGTGAAAACAGGCCACAGCTGCTGCACTTTCCAAGCTAAATGGCAGCCCTTCACTTAGCCCTTGCTCGGCTCCCCCCTTCCTGGAGCAGTTATTTTCTTCCTCAGGCAGCCAGTCATACATAATTCAGTTCTCACTCGAGGGTGTACAGGAAGGCGAGCGCTCGGGCCTCGCTGCTAATGGAAAAGAGTTCATAGCCCTAACGAGGACTCAATTTCTCCCGAAACAGAGAATTTCAACGTCGGTGTCCTGAAGTCCAAACCCTTTTGTTCCCAGCATAGTGTTCAAAGTTGTGGTTGATTTTTCTTGAATCTCATGAGAGATCTACGCATGTTATCTCTAGAACTCCTAGAAAGTATAAAGGTTTTTCCTTCCCTTCTTTGAAATATATATTTTTTGCATATTTGGTGTATGTATTTCTCATTCCAAGGAAAGGGATCCCTAGTAAAATATATTTATGTGTGCATTTGTATGTGTATATATCTACATATATGTTCTTATACAATATATGTGTCTATGTTACATTGGAGAGTTTAAACATAGAACAAAAAGAATGATAAACAATACATCTTGTTACTGAGTAGCAAAGCTTGATTATGTGTGCATATTTACGTGTATATATCTACTTATATGTTCTTATACAATATATATGCCTATGTTACATTGGAGAGTTTAAACATAGAACAAAAAGAATGATAAACAATACATCGTGTTACTGAGTAGCAAAGCTTGGCTGAGATGATTTTCCCTTTTCCCTGACCCTGTATCTTGAATGCACAAAGCTTAGGCAGAGGTTAGGTGGGTAGACCAGGAAGACCAGATCTGGGTCCAGGTCAGTCTCTGCCACTCTCTAGCTGGGTGGTGATTCTCCAGCTATTGACTCTTTGTGTTCCTTAATGCTCCTAGTCTGTAAAATGGGCCCCCAAAATGATTTTTAACCAAGGAGACTTTTGGGAATTTTAATTGACTCTGTGTGTGTGTATATACATATAAGAGTGTGTTGCATATTTAGTATAATGATAAATGCTAGGCAGTATACTATTATTTAAGGTTCTATAAATTCTTGGACAATTTTTCTGTGGTTTTGTCATCTGGGAGCCTTGTGTTGGTTGCTTGTTGTATTTTGAGGCTCAAGAGCAGAGAAAGGTGGCCTTTAATTCCTCTTACATAACACTTAGGAAAGAGCCTGGACACAGGTACTTTTCCCCATCATTTTGAGGGAAAGAAAAATATACATTATACATACGTATACCACACATACACACGCACATACACACATATACACACGCACATACACACACACACACACACACACACAGAGAG